CCCCAAAACCCCAAAACCCCAAAACCCCAAAACCCCAAAACCCCAAAACCCCAAAACCCCAATTTTACCTAAATACTTGAAATTAACATTTTAAAATAAAATAATCATAAATAATTCATAATGAGCAAAAGGCTAAAGAAACTTACTATCAAAAATACAATCAACACAGGAAGGAAAAAATCTGAAAAGGGTAAAATAGAGGGTCAAGAGCTCCAGTTCTTCCTATCAACATCTGATAATCGCCTGCAAAGAGTAAAATCTGGTGCGAGGCTGTTCAGCATAATCCATAAAAAGGAAGAGAACCAAAAACCAATTGAATTAATAGAGCATGTGATTCATAAGCAATCAACTCAGAATAAATAAGCTTTCTCCTGAAGAAAAGAAGGATATTGACATGTGTCTCACAGAAGTGCTGAATGGCAACGTTGACATGGCAAAGTACCTTGGCCATACAAAGTTTGACCCATGACAAGAGATCATCAAAGAAAAGAATATAGAGGAGTTCTTCAAACAGAAATACAATATCTTAATGATGTATATCGAAGATGAACAGAAGAAGAGAAAGCCAAAGGGTCCAAAGGGTCCAAAGAAGGCACGCAAAACCTATAGCGTAAGTTTATAATTTTCACTAAACTAACCCATCAATAGCAAGAGATATTCGATCTTTCTGCTGTGCCAGATTTGAAATAATATGACTACCTCAAAGAGCAAATTCTCTGGCTTCACCTCTGCCCAAGATAAAGTCCAGGCCATCGAGGAAGAAGTCTCCAGGGAGCTTGATCAAGAATGGGAAGAAAAGTATAAGGAGAAAATTGAGCAAGAACAAGTTGAGGAAAATATACAAAAGTTCTGTCAGAAACTCTTAAGTAAGGAGCCTCTTGTTTACCTTACCAGCTCAGAAAAAATAAAGTACAAAGTTTTGTCGACCCAAGGTCTAGTAAAATAAGAAAGAACTTCAAGGTGATTAATGAGCATATTGAGAACCTCAAGAAAATTGACCCAAACACAAATTTCCTCAACAAGAAACCTCAGAATAAACGTAGAGATAAGTTTGCGAAAACTAATATTGAAGTACTTGCTGATATCCTAACCTCTTCAAATCAAGTGGCTTTGCCATTAGGTAAAAAGAATTCTTTGCACGATCCCAAGCCGAAAAGAATGCTCACAAGGGCTGCCTCAATGGGGGATAGCAGAGAGTTGTTCATCCCAAATGAGAATGACTTAATCGAAGAGTATGAGTTAGAAGCGCTACAGAACAGAGTTCTCTCTCAAAATATCAAACAGGGCTTAAAGAAAGCAAGTCCTTCAAAGAGATTTCATAAAAGCAATTCTCAGAACAATATCAAAATATTCCAAGATTTTAAAAGTTTCATGAGACCTTCAACTTCTCAGATGAAAAGAGACAAAAAAAAGCTGGTTAATGACACTGGAGAGAGGATTGGCGAGCCCAAGTTCCTCAGTGAGTACCAAAATTTAGCCGAAAAGGATGTTAAAACTTACAGAGATCTCAAGACTGTAAAGCATCAGATGCCACTAGAAATTAACTATAAATACAAAGTTGATGACTTCTATAAGCAGAAGAAGGATCTGCCTCCAACTGCAGCTACAAAAAGAAGAGAAATTATAAACAAACATAGAGCAGCTAAAACATCTCAAGGGAAGAGGATCAAGAATATTAGAGAGATTTCAGCTGCATTAACTTCTCAAAGGAAAGCAGACTGGGAGCAACTGAGATCTTCAAGTGCTAAGAGAATGGTTGAGAGTATTCCTAGCAAGAGACCTACCACTCAAGGCTCTAACTTCCCTTCAAATTTTGCTATCGGAAATACTCTTGTAAGTTTAGAATTTTTGATATTTAGGGTTTATTTTCAAATGCTCCCCGAAGAAAATTAGGAGATATTCCAGGAATTGACATTGAAGAATCTTCAAGCGAGTTTATGTCAAGTAATGCTACTAAAGATCCAACAGAGATGGTACTTCATATGAAGGGACCAATTTATTCAACAGCAAAAAGGAATGATGAATCTCCTGACTTGGCTCAAAAAAGTTGGAAAAACAAAGCCTACATGGTAGATACCAAAACCAATCAATTTTTCAGATATGCCAAGCATAATTACGAGTCTGTGTACACAAAGAATAATTTTTAATTGAAATATTCAATAATAGCTCATTAGTTAGGGGTTTTGGGGTTTTGGGGTTTTGGGGTTTTGGGGTTTTGGGG